CAGGTAAAAAAGGGGTGCAGGTTCAAGTATTGTCAGAGGCATAATTTTTCTTTAATAGGACTTCTCAATATAAGCTGGTTGTCATTAATTTCACTGTTTAATAAAATAAAAACAAGAATAACAACTTAAAGACCATATAAATAACATTTATGGTAATTAGAAATAATGTTCAATAAAAAATTCTTTCAAATATATATATATATATATATATATATATAATTAATTGATTTAAAATATGTTTTTTTTTATTTACACAGTTTCAACCATGTTTCAAAAATAGAAGCTAAAAACCCCGAATTTAATTTTTGCAATTAAATTAAAAGCATTAGTTCTATTTCATCTTCAAGCGAATTTTTCTTGAAGATGAAACAGAACTAATGCTTTTAATTTAATTGCAAAATTAAATTCGGGGTTTTTAGCTTCTATTTTGAAACATGGTTGGAACTGTGTAGCGAAAAAAAACATATTTTAAATCAATTAATTTATAATATTAATGCTCTGTAAATTTACATTGAGCACTATTTTGTAAAAATAAAAATATCTATAAGAACACCGGATTTTATATCTTACTGTTCTTTATTTTATTTATATACATATATATATATATATATATAAGTGAAGTCAACAACCAGAGGCAACCATCTGTTTCATGCTAAACGCATTCATCAGGCCATGTGTGTATTGTTTATGATTGACTATTTATAAATAGTCAATCAAAAACACAATGCATATGGCCTGACAATTGCATTTAGCTTGAAACAGACTGCCACCTTTGGGTGTTGACTTGAATGTTCACTTTTATATTTACATACACTCTATCCCTGATATTGAGCACTTTGATTTATAAACATAGAATACCTTAAAACTATATTTTATCATGTGTGTCTACATATATATATTTAGGCAGCAAATTCTCTTTTAGGCATGTTTGATTGAATACATTACAAACATTATGTCTGCTTATTTTTATCATAAGCTTTTCATATTTATTAATATTTTAATTTAATTGTAATATACAGAAAAATATTCATGAATATAAAAGAATTATGATAAAAATAAGCAGGCATAATGTTTGTTTGGTTTGTTTTGCTTTATGGCATATCAACCTCAGTAAGTTATTTAATGCTGACAAGATTTTTATTGCCAATATTATTTTTTTCCAAAAATGTATTTCTGGAAATATTTTTTCTTCAAAAATGTATAGCTGATAATATTTTTTTTTCAAAAATGTATTGCTGGTAATATTTTTTTTTTTTAATGTATTGCTGGTAATATTTTTTTTTCAAAAATGTGTTGTTGGTAATAATTTTCACAAAAATATATTGCTGGTATTAAAACCTATTTTTACACTTTCATAGTGTTTTGATTCCAGTTTGGGAGTCAACTATTTGCCCATAGCTCGGACCCTAACAAGTGCTACCAGCCCAGGTCAGGGTGGACGTGGGAACACCAGCAATTAAGAGGTGGTTTCACGTTCCTTAAAACTTTCTGATCAGAGGTTTGCTGTTGGATGTAGTTTATCATCTTACCTAGGATGGCATAATGTTTGTAATTTATTCAGTCAGACATATATATATATATATATATATATATATGTATATTTCAAAGGATTAATGAATTTATTTTTAATCCTACATTTTTACTTCAAATGTTATTGCCGTGGACACTTCATATTTGAAATAGAAGACCCTGGGTAGTCTGGGGAGTAGGTTTGATCTCTGCAAGGAAATACATTTACTGTACTAGATGTTCTAGAATGGTAAGGTTGATAGATGAAATACACACAGTTTAATAAGTGAAAACAGCATGCATATTTCAAATACAAAGGCTTTGCTATAATATATTATATATAGAAGTATAGAGTTGAATTTGAATTTAGAAGAAATTGAAAACTCAATCCTAAAGCAAGAATAAGGGATACGTCTCGACTTCTGTTGAATAGATTGAGGAAGAATGTGAACAGTGATATAAGTGAACTTATTGAAAAGAAAAAAATAATTAGTAAATGAAAAATAATATAGTAAATAAAAAATAATTAGTAAATAAAATTTTAGAATTCATACAGATAGATTAAAAGTATAGTGTTGAAGTAGACTTTAGAAGGAACTGGAAATCTAGTCTTAAACAGGAAACATTTTCTTTGGGACTACTCCAAGTGTTCCAATAATGATGTCACTTCCATGTTGGTTCTCTTTCTCTTTTGGTTTTTCTTCAGTTATTTGCCTGATATCTTTCTTTTGAGCTTCAGTTTTCTTTAGACTCAATTTTATTCTTTTTAGAATAATTAATTTTAATAATAATTAATTTTAGAATAATAGAAAAATTATACTTAGAATCCAAAGGAGAATCTGCAATGCTATTGGTCCTGACCTGGCATCGTGGCTTCAGTCACTTTTGGGATAGTTGTTTTGATAAGCTTTCCTCTTTGGTACCTAAATTTTATGAATTTAAGCACAATACTAGATTGGCAGCAAAGTCGCATCATTTTACATTTGAAATGGCTGCTAGATGTAACCATAAATTCTATGCTAACAGTTTCTTCCCCCACACTTCACGCTTATGGAACTGTCTTTCAGCTTATTGCTTTCCAATCAACTTTGATCTTCAAAAATTTAAGTTCAATGTCAATTGTTATCTTCTATCTTAATTCTTGTTCTTTTATTACTCTCTCTTCATAATGTTTTTTTTTTCATATTCTCTAAAACTCAGTAACCCCTTGCATCTTAGTGTTTTTATTGCCTTGCTTGGGGTGAAATGATTAAAAAAAGAAGAAATCTTGTTATCTCTTTCTCATGTATAAAAAAAGTTATGTGTCATGCATGATACATGCTTAGGTGATCATGTATCTTTCGATACATGACTGACAAGGCAGATTTTTCCAGTTGCCATCCAAGGCTATAGAACCTGATCTGTCCTGCTGTTTACCCATAGCTGGAGGGTGGGGAGATGACGATTCATACCTTTCCCAAGGGTATTAGCATATAAGTGAATGTAATGGATTTGATTGGAATTCGAACTCAGCTCTTTGATTCCTCAATCCGAACTGCTATCCATTACTCCACCATACCTTACTTAAAATGCTTGCAATAAATAAATCTAATTCTACTTATAACATTAATTATTTGAAATAAATATATATTTGCATGATCCCATCAAAGGGATTTGTTGATCTTAACTAGGGAGAAATTTTGCAACTATTTGAAAAAACAAAAATAAATAAACAAACCATCAAAAATGCTTTCCAAATGAAGGGAGAACAAAAACCTTTTTATTACTTTTTCTTTCATTGCCAATTCCATGTTAGCTTGAGTTGGCTGTTTTCCTGTTAGTTAAATCAAAGACTAGGGAATTCTATCCCTGGGGTGCATTTACTTGTTTGATTGGTTTTATGACTGTTGGCTTTTGAAGTTCTTTGGCAATAAACAAATTGTACCAAATACAGGATAGCAACTAGCTTTTTACAAGGTACAAACAGATATTTAAGGTATTATGGAGAAAATGTTTTACTGGCTTAAATTTACTTCTGGTGAATTGCATTTTGGGTAACTAAAAGACTATCACAGTTGAGTTAATGTTTACACAAACCCTATTTACATATGACAGAGTTTAATGACAGAATGAGTAAAAGCTTCTTTTTTTTTTTGTGGTAAAATTATTTCATTCATAATGTCCGAAGTTCTAGTTTTAATAAATGAATTATATAGCTCATTAATTTCATTATTCAAGAACACAACCTATTTTTGATGATGATATTATTGTTGTTGTTAGTAGTTTTTGTACTCATTGAGTTTTACATCAATAGTAATTGATGGTTTTTACTGAAAATCTACTGACAGCAAGTCTCCTCAATACCCTAATCCTTTTCTAGGTTTCCAACTGATTTTTTGTAATGCTATCATCTCAATGTCCAAGAAGACTTACACATCTTTTGTAGATTATGCAAAAGCATTTGATAAGGTATGACACAAAACATATTTGAACTGTTAGGTAAGCATAACTTCTCTGAGAAAGATATCAGGATAATCCACAAATTTTACAGGTAAAAAAACTGCACAAAATTAGAATAAGTGATGTTATATACTGCATATGGTTGCAGCAGTAACTAATGCAAAACAACAATGTATTGCCTGTGAGGCAAAAAAAGGGGAGACAAGATATGTTAAAATAAAATTACCTGTATTACCAATGTATACATTGGATTAAGGTTGAATGTCTCTTGAAGGTAATTGAGGTGACACATGTGGATAAAAGCACCTGAACCTGAAGATTCGAAGAGTTGATTGTGTACTAGCCTCACATTGAAGCTTGCTCCAGGTTGATTGATCAAGAGACCACTGCGAACTACATGTGAACTTCCTTAAGTGTCACCAAGTGCGTCCTTTTAATCAGTCTGGGTGGATACATGAGTCAGCATTTTTTGTTATATTTTTGCTTTAGCCAAAGTATTTGTGAGTAGCCTCAATGTTAAAATCTTATTTTATTTTTGGGGTATATGTTTTGTAAGCCAGATGCGATTTTCCGGACAGCTGCACTGAAAGTGAACAATTTGTTTTTAATTTTGCTTTCATAGCATTTTCAACTATCTAACAGATTTTGATGTAGAATGAATCTGAAAAAAGTCTAATACAAAGCAGAGCATAACAGGAGTAAGACAAGGATACATTTTTTCACTAAATTTACATAATCTGAACTAGATCTACTAGGTTTTACTATTAATGACTATAATCTTAACAGCATAACAGATACAGATGACCCTGTTGATTGACTGATTTATTTCTATAGCTTATCAACCCTTTGCTGGTTTTTTAAAGCCCCAAAATATTTTTTTTACTGTAAGAATTTTTTTGAGGTAATAATGATTTAGAGATACAAGTCTTACTAATTAATCCATTGCTGGGGAGAGAAGAGGTGTATTTGCATGTAAGCGAATGAAATTGGAACTCGGCTCTCCAATTAAAAATTCTGAGCCTTTATCCATTGCACCTGCAGATTCAAGCTTACAGAAACTAGTATTTCCAAGCAGTCACCCATCTAGGTACTTACCAGGCTCGATGTTGCTTAACTTCAGCAATCATACAGGAACCAGTATTTCAACATGATATGGCCATAAGCTTGATATTGTGTTGATACCAGATACAGAAGGAAAATAGAAAGACCTCCAAGACAAAGGAAGAGAAGAAAGTGAGATGAAAGAACTAACCATTAACTATAGGATGATGGAATGTATGGTCCGAGGTAAAAGTAATAGTGAAATGTATACCTTCAAATTGGAGTCATCAGAATCAAGCAGATATTGAAATTTAGCTCTCTTATCATGGCCATTCCTTGAGGTTCAAGATGATGGTCTTGTTAAGTTTGCCTCAATCAATTTGATTTGTGGACTCTGATATGGCTAATGAAACTGATTTTTACTTAAAAGGTCCTTCAAGATATTGGATTAGGCCATAGTGGTTGTTGTCTGTCTTTTTGACATCTTTTTTCTCTAGTGTGGCTGATTGTTTGGATTCAAAGATTGTTGTTCCTTCCCTGACAATGGATCTCTAGAGATTACTCTCAGTTTCAAGCAGTTGATGTTGATGTTCATCATGTTTTGTGTTAGAATGTCCTTGAAACTCTTCTTCTGACCTCCTCTTTTCCGATTTCTCTTCTTTAAGTTGGGAATAAAATATTTGCTTTGGCAGGCTGGGATCATCCATTTCCACCAAATTTCCACTCCATTGAAGTTGATTTTTAATGACTGTGGCTCTAATGCTAGTCATTTTAGCATGTTCCAGTACACTGACATTAGTTCTTCTGTTTTCCCAAATGATGTTCAAGAGACTCTGAAGAAAATGTAAAGTTTTTCAAAGAATTTCAGATATCGTTAATAAGTAGTTCAGATCTCAGAGCCATACAGGAGATTTGGGAGCATTACTTGTCTTGTAATTTTGGTGTCTGTTCTGATGTCTTGATCTTGAAAAATCTATTTCAAAAGAAACCAAAATCTGTTCCTACACATTTCAGATGGTGTTGTATCTTGAAGGTCAGTGGTAGAAGACAGATGGCTACCAATATAACAAAAGTAATCCATATTCTCTAAGACTGTTTTGTAAAGTTGGATCTTTGGATCTGTCCAGACTGTTTCAGTTGGTGATGGATGATAGATGATTTTTGTCTTGTTTAGTTTACCCCAAGTTTAGTGTGAGCATTGTTGAAGGCATGCAATATTTGATGCAGATGAGCAACAAGGAAGTTCTAAAGCAAACAAAAACTACAAAGACACTATAAAATCAGAAGGAGACAGTTAAAATCTCTGGGATGTATTATGAGAAAGGATGGTTTGGAAAATTTAATATTCATAGGATATATGAAAAAAAGGAGCAAACAATGAGCAACTTAATGAGTTTGTATATAGATGGTCAAGTCATCTATCAATACTAGAAAGAGCAATAACAGTTACCAGACTTGAGAAATTTATTTTCTTGTAAAAAAATGAATAAATTTCAACAGAAAGTTGTACTAACTGCATGGTTAATGAATGCTGAATGAAAGAAGGAAATGTCTAATATTATGATTACCATTGACTACAATTAATATTCTTTCTATTTTATCTACCTTAGCCTTAGTTCTTATGGAGTTGTTTTCGGCCATTTTGATTTCTCTCTTCAGATATCCTCTTTACAATCAAGTTTATGCCATATCTAATTGCATTTGTTTCTCAGTTAGAATCCTTTTTTTACATCATTGGACTCTTGTTCTGGAGCTTTTTTATCCTCTATTTCAAACATTATTAATACAGTGGAACCTCAGTTCACAAATATAATTCATTCCTGAAGGCCATTCGTAATCTGAAATGTTCATAAAGCAAAACTATTTTTACAGTAGGAATCAATCTAGAGAAAAAAAAGTCAGATTATAATAAAATTGGAAAAGATAAAACATGATACAACACACGAATGTATACAACATGATGATCGACTCAGAAATGATTCCATTCAGATTAACTCGGTTGTTCAAGAACCAAAATTTTGTTCGATAACCGATGCATTTTCATCTCAAATTTTCAGTTTGAAACTGATTTGTTCAACATGTGAGATGTTTGAGAACTGAGCTTACTCTGTATTATTTTTCCTTTTGATTAATTCATATTTTCAGGCCTCACAAAAGCATAATATTCGATTGTTTGTAGCTAAATACTGGCTGTGACAAGTATGAATTGGTTCAAAATATACACTGTCACATATTTAGATTGAAATTTATATATTAAAAACATAATCATTGTTCTTTTGCTTTTATGCACTTTGCCTCTTCAGGGCATGGATGATCACAGCTCCTCACAGCTTCCTATTCTTTCTAGCTATAAGCAATATTTATCTCCTTATGATTAATCCTATTCGCTGTTCTGTAATCCATTTACAGAATCTCATTCAGTAAAGTTATTCAGTGTTTTTCTCTGCCTCTCTTGCCTTCAATATGTACTGTGGGTTTCAAATTCTCTAAAGTCCATTATATGTTCCATAAATTTCAGTGGTTTATTTCTGATTGTACCATATATGCTGGTGTACAAGGTGACTGGGTGTAGAAGATGACTCCCAAATTTTCAAGTTAAAATGTAGGTTTCAGGCTGTATTTACTGTATAAACATCCCCACCAAATCATATTTTAAAATGTATTGTATTGAATTTATTAAATAAATTCAGTAAGTGTAACTTTCTTTTACCTCAAATATTAATGTAAAAATGGTGGGGAGATACTGTCAATTAACAATTACAATCTACAATACTTCATGAGTGGGTGCTGTGTTTTCAGTAGGCTATTAAGGTAGCCAAAATGCCTTTTCCCTGCTAACCATCCACCACTCATTCCACTGTTCTTGAATGTGACCTTTAAATGTCTTGTTGAGAAACACATCTAGTTGTGTTTTTGTTCAATATCATTGAATAAAGGAGGCAAGATATTGTCAACTACCACAATCTTCACTTTCTGTTACCCCTACCATAATAATGTAAACTTGTTTCAATAGAAAATATTTTTGTCAATATTTACAAAGGCAGGGGTTAAAAATCTCCCATGCTAACAAGTGACCATAAACTACAGGATTTAAGGTTCACATTTTATACCTGGTGTATAAGACTCTCCTGGCACTTTTTTAAAGATTAAATGATCGCCTTGTGGATCAACATAAGCGGTAATTGTAAATTTCCTTGTAGTACCTATTTTTCTTAAAACTTTCTCATTGCTCACATCTTCTGTCAATAATATTCTCAACATTAATAAGTAGAACAATATCTCATTTAATTAATGCCTTTTCTTTATCAATAAGGAGATTGTTCAGTATTTACTGTGATACAGTAGATTTGATATTATATAGTGGTTCAGCACTATTTTCTTTGTTTCCAATAATATTTTCCTTTCTTAATACTTTGCTTATTTTCTGGATGGCATCTTTCAGCATTCCTATGTGTTTCAGTTTTTTGTGTCATATTTTTTTTTATTATGAATTACTACATTAATTAGATAGTTAAATTTACCTGCATGATTTTGATGTCCTCAATCCATAGCTCACAGTTTGGGCTGTCATTTTTGCTGACAACCATGCATTCTGTTTTCTTACAGTTAATCATAGTTAGCAATGACAAAATCTCAGTTTGAAACTCTTTCTTTTACCCTTTGTTATCTGGACTTTTTTTTTACTTTTAAGAACATCCTTTCATTTAAGCTCATACACCTTTTTCTTCATGATTGAACCCAAGTCATTTGCATATTCCCCAATGAAACAATTTCGCATGTGTTTTACCTGCTTTTATACTTCCTCTGAAGCAGTTTGCTACATTTACAGTTTTTCTATATTTTGTTAGTCTTTGTCAATATTTAATACTGATGCATTTATTCTGGGTTGCAATGTAATTGTGTCTCTCTTTTTAGATATTTTCGATGTAACTATGTCCGGAACATTTCATCTTTGATATTCTCCACTTGTCTTCAGAATTCTCCATGGGGATGTTTTCTTCTCATTTTCCTTTTCTTAAGTTTCTATGGATGTGGTGGGGGGGGGTGCATAATGGTTAAGAGTAGGAAGGGTGATTTACTCTAGTCTTTCAAGTGGGGAGGTATTGTCTACTTTGATAATCTTGATTGTTATCTGATTCTGACTGCCAGTTTCTTTTATAGATGAGAAATATGCAATTATCTAAGTTACTAACCAGGCTACACAGTTATATATCAGGTTTGGCACAAGGTCACAGCAATGAGGAATCATGTGAGGAGTGATTTTTTAAAATTCTTTTATGTGTCATTTTACTTCAGAACATGGTAGATCATAGCTTGCCATAAAAGGCAAGAGAAAATGTGTTGTGGCCTGTTAGGGACCAAAAAGAAAGACACAGAAGATGAAGGTAGGTTGAACAAGTGTATTGAAATAACAGATATATATAAAGTAAGAGTGTTATTAGTCAGCAGATAGAAGTGTCCATCCGAACAGTCAGGTTACACTGCATCTCGGCTGCCCACACAGGAAGTGTCACAGGTTAGTATTTATGAAAGGAGGAAGAGCTTGTTCTACTGTAGGTAGGTCACCATAACAAAATGGAAAGGTAGAGTCTACATGCAGTAGATAGTCTGATGAATTGCTGCCAATTGGCTCTTCTTCTTCTTCTTCTTCTTCTTCTTCTTCTTCTTCTTCTTCTTCTTCTTCTTCCATATGTCATGTCCATTCAGGATATAGACAATCATGATTCTCTACAATTTCTTGTCCTCAGCAAATTAAATTTCATTTTTCTTACTTCTTGAGATGCATAAAAATTACAGCAGAATCAAAGGCAGACATCAAGTTTTGTAATGCTACACTGCCTTATCTAATTTTACTTTGACTCACATAAGGCATTTAATATTTGTTTATGATAATTTTGAACTTTATTATGCCTCACAACAAACAGCCACTCTGATGTTTGAACAAAATGATATTTTCTTGTCAGACATGGTGGATATCACATAGAAAGCAATTTCTTGACACTGACATTACAAAACCAACAACAAATATCAATCATGATGCCACAGATTGCTGATTCAACATTGAAATCAATGATAATACTTGTAATAATGTCAAAAAAAATTAAACCATTTCATATTAA